CCCCTCCCCTTCGCGCTCCGCCCCCGCCTGGACGCTCACACACTGGCCTGCCTTATTTCCCTGGGACACTAGGGTCTTTCCTGCCCCAGTCCGCTCTCTCTGGAAGCTCTTCCTCCTGCTTTTTCCTCAGATAGCTCCTGTTTAGGAAGCCTACTAGGACAAGCCTAAAGTAGCACCCTTCACACTCTCTCCTACTGCCCCGTTATATTATTTCGTAACATTGATCACTATCTAAAATGCTAAATTAGGCCGGGTGCAGTGGCTGAAAAAAATTTCCAATTCTAGGGAAGAATATAAAGTGAAAAGCAAACAAAAATCATTCTACCTAGCTCATTCTACATCCTCCCAATCCTATTCCCAGGAAATAACTTGTGACCCTTGAAAACGGAGTTATGTGTATGTCATGTGTGTATGTGTACGTCGTGTGTGTGTGTGTACCTATATACAAGTATGTCCCCTTTTAAGGAAAAAAAAGATGATTTTATGTGTACTATCCTACAAATCTTTTTCCCTTAACGTAATTTGGATTTCTCCACATAGGGACCTAAAGACATTTATTCTTTCAAAATAATGCAAAGAATTTCATTGTATGGATTCATTATAAAGTATTTAACAGGGCCCCATTGATGCAAATTTAGGTTGTGACCAGTCTTTGCCCATTATAAACAATGCCATAATGAACATCTTGTACATATGTACTGCAGTGAACATCCTTGCATGTATACATATATGTATGCAAATATATATCTCAGAAATAGTATTTTAGAGTCACTAGGTATATGAGTTAAATATTTTATGAGGCTAGACATGGTGGCTCACACCTATATTCTCAACAATTTAGGAGGCCAAGACGGAAGGATTGCTTGAGCTCAAGAGTTCAAGACCAGCCTGGGCAACATGGTGAAACCCCGTCTCTACAGAAAAATACAAAACATAGCCAGGCATGGCGGCACACACCTGTAGTTACAGCTACTCAGGAGGCTGAGAACGGAGGATTGCTTGAGCAAAGAAGGCATAGGTTGCAGTGAGCCAAGATAGTACCACTGCACTCCAGCCTGGGTGACAGAGTGACACCCCATCTCAGTCAATCAATCAATCAATAAAACTGCCTGCTGAGTGTAGGACCAATGGTTGTTGATATGTCAATTTCTGCATTTCTGCATTCCCAGTAGCACATGAGAAGTCCAGGCCTGCACATGTAGGTATGACAAAGGAAAGAACGCTGCTGGACCATTCTGCTGCCTGCAGGCCCTGCTTCAAAAGCAACACACCACTTTGGACAGTCCAAAGGTTCTGAGTTTTTGCAGAATGAAGGCTGCTCTTCTTCTTGTTCATGTAATTCACACACTGTTCCAGAAGTTTCTGACCTTTTCTTGTAAGAACATAATATTTCAGCCATAGATACAAGAAGGAATGATATTGAATTGCATCAATGGTGGATCTATAATAAATATTTGTCAGTTAGCAAAGACAATCTAAAGAAAAAGGAATAAATATTGAAAAGCATCACCTATCTGCTTGATTTCCATGACCCAGAGCTTTAGTTTAACCTCTAAGAGTTTCTTTTTTGTTGTTGTTTCGAAACGAAATCTCACTCTGCAGCCCAGGCTGGAGTGCAGTGGCATGATCTCAGCTCACTGCAACCTCCACCTCCTGGGTACAAGCCATTCTCCTACCTCAGCCTGCCGAGTAGCTGGGACCAGAGGTGTGCACCACCATGCCCAGATAATTTTTTGTATTTTTTTGTAGAGATAGTTTTACATTGTTGCCCAGGTTGGTCTCCAATTCCTGGGCTCAAGCAGTTCTCCCACCTCAGCCTCCCAGGTGGCTGGGACTACAGGCACATGCTACCATGCCTGGCTAAATGTTGAATTTTTGGAAAGACGGGGTTTTGCAGTGTTGCCCAGGCTGGTTTCCAACTCCTGGACTCAAGCAATCCTCCTGCCTCAGCCTCCCAAAGTGCTGGAATTACAGGTGTGAACTACTGTGCCCAACCCACCTCAAAGCGTTTCTGAATTCTGAATTGACAGTCTTAGAGCCCTTAAGCTATTATTCAAATGCTTATTATCTTCTTACTCATGCGTACCTTATAATCAATGCCACTTGGAATGGAGGAATGTCAAATGCCTACTCCTCAGTTTAAAGATCAAATCTTCTAAGCCAGGTGTGGTGGCTCATGCCTGTAATCCCAACACTTTGGGAGGCCAAGGTGGGCAGATCACCTGAGGTCAGGAATTTGAGACATGGAGAAAACCCGTCTCTACTAATAATAAAAAATTAGTGGGGTGTGGTGGTGCACGCCTGTAATCCCAGCTACTCAGGAGGCTGAGGCAGGAGAATCGCTTGAACCCAGGAGGCGGAAGTTGCCGTGAGCCGAGATCACACCACCAAACTCCAGCCTAAGCGACAAAGTGAGACTTCTTCTCAAAAAAAAAAAAAAAAAATCAAACCTCATGAAATTCTGAAACAAGTGATCTGTCTGCCCTTAATGATATTAGAATTATTCACATTTCAAACAGCAGATGTTTACATAATTGTAAGAATAGCCATGAATATTTGTTGCATTCCTTTTATGTTTTCTTTTTTAGCACTTGTCAAATTATGAGAGTAATACACACTTACATTAAAAAAATAAAAATAGGCCAGGAGCGGTTGCTCAGGCCTGTAATTCTAGCGCTTTGGGAGGCTGAGGCGGGAGGATCACTTGCATCCAGAAGTTTGAGACTAGCTTGGGAAATATAGGGAGACCCAGTTGCTACACAAAAATAAAAAATTAGCTGAGCATGGTGGTGCTCACCTGTACTCCCAGCTACTTGAGAGGCTGAGGCAGGAGAATCACTTGAGCCCAGGAATTCAAAACCAGCCTGGGCAACATAGCAAGACCCCATCTCAAATAAATAAAATAAAGACTATGGCAAGGCACGGTGGCTCACACCCATAATCCCAGCACTTTGGGAGGCTGAGGTGGGAGGATCACGAGGTCAAGAGATTGAGACCATCCTGGCCAACATGTTGAAACCCCGTCTCTACTAAAAATACAAAAATTAGCTGGGTGTGGTGGCTCACACATGTAGCCCCAGCTACTCGGGAGGCTGAGGCAGGAGAATCGCTTGAACCGGGAGGCGGAGGTTGCAATGAGCTGAGATCACGCCACTGTACTCCAGCCTAGCGACAGAGCTAAACTCTGTCTCAAAATAAAAAAAAATAAAGACTATAACAATGAAGGAACCATGGGAATTTGAATGTCCTTACTTTGAAACAGATTCTCTTCACATACATTTATTGATATATAATTCACATACCCTACAGTTCACACATTAAAGTATATGATTCAGTGGTTTTTAGTATATTCACAGAGTTATGCAATCAACCCCACTATCTAATTACAGAATACTTTCATCACCCTTAAAAGAACCCCCTCACCATTAGCAGTCCCTCCCCATTACCCTCCACAGAGCCCTTAACAAGCGCTAATTACTTTCTCTCTCTTTGGAGTTGCCTATACTACACATTTAATATAAGTTAGATTATAAAACATTTGACATTTTGTGTCTGGCTTCCTTCCACCTAGCATAGTTTTTCCAAGGTTCTTCCTTGTCATCACATATATCAGTACTTTATTCTTTTTATGACAAAAGAGTATTACAAATATTTCATATTT